TTTCTTAGTAAGTAGTGGGGACCGTGCCATTCACGTCTTTCACAATGTAACCGGTTACCGCGCTGCCATCCAGGACATGCAGACCATGCTGAAGAAAGCCTCAAATGATGGAGTGAGACAGAGACTCCAGCAGCAGATAACAGATGCTCAGAATGCTCTGGACACAGTGCTGAATGCAACAAAGAACTAAAAGCTGATTTATTTTCACTTGAAAGCTGGTCTGTTTTTGGTTGCTTTGCATACTGGTTTTGTTGAATAAATTGGCTGTTTTTAAGGGTTTGTCAATTTTGTTCCTTTTTCACAAATGTTTCTACTGCCATCTCTTTGTGGCTTTAAAAGTTACATTTTCACTTTTCGGGGGAAATATAGTATCCTGCAAAGGCAAAATGCTGTCATACTGAGGTGGAAAAAATACCCTTAATTTATAAATAAATATATATAGGGACTATATGATATATGTAAATAACGTCTAAAATATTTAACATTAACTTTAATAATTACAATACCCATTTTGATATCTTAATCTAAAAAATAAAAACAGGCCCAGAGGACCTTTATTTTGAAATTAACTATAACCTTTATGAGTTATATTAAAGCATTTAGGTTATAAATATGTACAGCTGTTACAATATGGGTTTGGGCCATCGGTCGTTGACTGAATATATATGACTAGTGGCTTTTTCATCTTATAATAAAGTTAACACATTTAATAAAGACAAACAACAGCAGCCACCTGTGCCCTCTATAAGTAGGTGGGATCAGTCAAGAAGCTCTGGAAAGTGGTCCCGAGTTCTCGCGATGCGAGATTTGCGAAGCCAGACTGCGAGACCGACACGATTCCAGTAAGAGTACCGATAAAATTCAGAAATGTCTGGTCGCTCGGTCCGCGCAGAGACCCGAAGCCGCGCTAAAGATGACATTAAGAAAGTGATGGCGGCCATCGAGAGAGTACGGAGATGGTGAGTATGACAGGCGGCATCACGATACTTTCAAAGAGAGAAATGTTTTTCAAAAGAGAAACTTCAGTCGGAAAGGAGGAGGAGTTTACTAAGAGGATGCCGGTTGATTGACACAAGAGACAGCCAATGGCTGCGCACTTGTCTTTGTTTTCTCAAGGGACAAGTGGCAAAAAGAGGCGGGACTAGAGAGGACTTTTAAAAGGTTTCTTCATGTTTTGAAGAGGCGTAGTGTGTAGGACTGTCAGTAACCTTAAATAAATTATATAATTTTTCTTGTTTTTTTTTTTTTACTAGTTTATAAAGTCTATTATACATTTACTGTGCAAGAGAGTAATCCAAGCACATTCAATCAGGGTTTAGGCCAGCAAAAACCAAGCACTTTTGTGATTGAAATAAATTGGGATATTGGATAGGGTTCAACACATCAACAAATGGACTTTGTAATCCCACATGTCCCGAAAAAGCAGCTCTTAGAGGAGCCTTTAAACTTTCTCCAAATGGAAACTTTATAAGTGCTTTTTTCTGCATGGTTGCATTTTTAACATGGAAACTTGATAGAGCTTTCAAGTCATGTATATGAGAAACCTGTTACACAATTGCTCTATTTCAGGGAGAAGAAATGGGTCACAGTTGGAGATACATCATTAAGAATATTTAAATGGGTTCCTGTGGTGGACACAAAGGAGGTACAACACATCTAACATGTTCATTTCTCTTGGTTTTAATTGTTTGAGAGTTAGTTTTTTACATAAGATCAACATATTATCTGTAAAGTAATGGATTTTCCAAACTCCTTCACTGTATTTACCGCACCTGTAACCTGATATCTTTTAGAAGGACAAGAGCAAAGTGTCTGTGGGTGGTGAGATGCAACGGAAGAATTTTTCCACTGAGGAGGCATCTGATAACGCCTGTTCTGTACTGTTAGATTTTCAAGGTAAACATTTGCATGTGAGATTCAAGTTTCAAAGGCATAGTTTACCCAAAAATTAACATTTTACCATAATCAGCTTCTTGTAGTTCCAAACCCGTATTGTTTTCTTTCTTTCTCTCCTGGCTTCTCAGATGAGAACAGCAACCAGAGTTCTCTGTCAGACTCGTACCAGCTTAAAGTAGCTGCAGACAGCAGCAATAACTCCAGTCCACAGCCCAGTGAGCCGGACAGCCCTGCACTTCAGAGTCTAGACTACCGTACAGATGATCCACAGCCGCCCACCCTCGGCCAAGAAATCATGGAAGGTGAGACTCATACCTTGCATTTTTCATTGAGTTTAATGTTAATCTCAGAGCTGAGAGATTCACTAATTTATTATATTATATTACATTACATTATATTATACATTTCTAAAGGTATATCCAGTGTTTTATAAAGCTTGTAATTTTATAAATCTTGCTTAAATATTTAGTCATATTAACCTGAGATTTCACAGTAAGTTGTTTGCCCTCTTTGTGTCATAGTGATTTTGATCTGAACAAATTAATTATGTTTTTATCTCCAAAACTACACATTTCACAGAAGTTCACTGAGATCATTTAGTCCGTTGACCCACTTTTAAAAATTATAACTTTTTTTTTCTAGAGCCGCTGCTGCAGTCAAGTGAGATTGCAGATGAGCCGCCAACACTGATCAAGGAAGATCTTTTACCCCTCACTGCTCAGGTACAAAACAGTACAAAAGTAGTCAGAGGTTCTGCATAAAGCATGAATGCTGGGACAGCCCCTCTGCCTTGGGTTGTGAACCTTGCTTGCCTTCAAATTCATATATCTTTTTTTGGGTATACTATATATGAGAAAATAAAAAAATTACATAAATATCTATATATAATATTTAATTTATATATAATGAATGTTTTTTTTTTTTTTATGTAAACAATATTTGTTATTTATTCTACTAGATTTATTTTGTATTATATATTTTTAAGATTGTATATATTAAGCCTTTTGTACTACTGAAATTAATAACTAATTAATAATTAATTGCTTCTTTTTCTCTGGGTACAGGAGGATGAGGATAGCTGTGGAGCCCCACCACTGAAAAGAATCTGTACCGAGCAGGTCTCGGTCATTCAGGCGGCCCCTCTTAGCTAACATACACACACACACACACAATCACACACACTGTACACTGGGCATTGATAATCAGCCAGACTGATCACTGGCCTTCCTAGAACTGCTGCAAAAGACACAATATGGACCAGACATCGAAAAAGCACTATATTTATTATCGTATGGGATCGCTTTGCAACATTTTAGATTTACAAATCTTTGCTTTCCCTTTGTATCTCCTAGAATATGCTTCCATTCAGGCCATGTCAGGTTTATCGTTCATTTTTGAAGATCTCATAGTAGAATCTCTGAATTGTTATCTCTTACACTAATTCTGACATAACATGAATGAAGCATTGATTCAACGTTTATAGGCCAAAACCAAAAAAAAAAGGCCAGACTATTAACTAGACATTCCTGTTTACAGGGAGAATGAATGAATGTACTATCACTATAAAGCCCTTCTTGTTGAAATTGCTGTTACAGTTATTATAATGCTAATAGTTTTATTTTATCTTCAGTTGAATGTGATGCTTGTTAAAAAAAAGAAAGCCATAATTTAATTTCATGTTGACTGAAGGCTTAGCCATTGTTGAAGAAAATGTCCTCCAAAACCACGACAAAAAGAAAGTAAATGACAAAGGTACTTGAAATGCAATTTAATACATCACGCTTTATGCACAAGTAATCTCATTAGACCACACCATTCCCTTTTAATAAAAACAACGACTCAACATGCAGAATGTCTTTAATCAAATTCTGTAAGTTTACATGCAGATTGAAATGAAGTCTTTAAGTCATGTTTCAAAAGATGTGAATAATATATAGATTTTCTGTTTGTAGATTCTGCTCTCAGGGTCTGTAGTGCCTCCAACTGTCTATCAGCTCTCATTTGTTGCAGTAATTGAACATTTACTTTTTTGTCTCTGTAGTACACCCATAAAAACGCCTGTCACTTATGCCACCTTTTATTTTTTGCACACTGGTCTAGTGGGCACTATGAGTTCAATGAAGCAGTCATATTGTTATTTGATGCAAATATCATTAATTTTTTTTAGACCTTTCAAGATTCATATTCAAGATTTATTTTTGGCTTTATTCTTTAAAAATAATAACAATGTACACTACAGTTCAAAAGTTTGGGGTTAGGGTTTTTTGTTTTTTTTTGTCTAAATAAATTAATAGTTTTATTCAGCAAGGGTGCATTAAAAATCGGTGAAAAGAGACAGTAAAGACATTTACAATGTTACAAAAGATTTCTATTTCAAATAAATGCTGTTCTTTTGAACTTTCTATTAATCAAAGAATCGTGGGGAAAAATTGTTTCTTCAAAAATATTAAGCAGCACAACCTTGATATAATAAGAAATGTATCTTGAGCAACAAATCAGCATATTAGAATGATTTCGGACGGATCACGTGACACGGAAGACTTCAATAATGTCTGCAGAACACTCAGCTTTACATCACATCAAATTGCTTTTTCAAATATTTTTAAATAGAATACAGTTGTTTTAAATTGTAATAATATTTCAAAATATTATTATGTGTACTGTATTCAAAAACACGGAAAAATCTTACAAACCCCAAACTTTTGATTGGTAGCGTATATTAAAAATATATATTTTAAGTTTTGTATGGGGCTTCAATACAAAACTTAACGTTTGACCTGCATGTGGTGCTGAAGCCCCATTTTTCATAAAATATATATATATATTATTATTATTAATATGTTACGTATTGTAGGCTACGTTGGGAACGTCTGAGATATTTACTTAATACATATTATAGCTCCCTGTACTTGTTTCGGCATATAGATTATACAGTACCTTGATACTACCTAGACCGCGTTTTGGATGTCAAACACGCCTGCAGCATTTTTGGCAATGCTGACTATGATGTAGTAGGTACTAGATAGTCAGTCAGATAGGTTATGAGACACAGCCAGTGTTTTACAGAAGAGGGGATTGTATTTTACTCTAGTCAGTGACTGTCTCTCCTCACCCGTCATTCAAGTCTCTCAATAACTCACTCAGGCGTTTAACACAACTCGTCTGAGCAGGAGTTATAACATCAGATAAAGCAAAGGGAAGAGCTGTTAGACGTCGGACCATGCGTGAGGGATTTTGGAAACTTCTTTGTATTTTCATGTTTTCCTTTCGAGCTTTTAAAGCCTCCGCAGCTATGTATCAGGTTCCAGCGAGACTGCAGCGCACAGTGTCGGAACACAACACTGGAGCAAACACACTCAACAGGTAAACCTGTCACCGGCTGGAATAAACATTAGGTTATCGAACTGATTGATTTAAAGCCTTAATCTATTATACTGCAGAATTATGGATTAAGGTAAATGAACTCGATAAACTTTGAATAGTTAAACAATTCTATTATTATCTTAACCCAACACAATTTGTATTTCTAGATATTTTATTCACAACTGTTTCTGTGGCTTGCAACATTTCTATCTATCTATCTATCTATCTATCTATCTATCTGTTTGTCTGTCTGTCCTAAACACATCTGTGAAGGCCCCTGTGGGCCCCCTAATTAAGTTCCCAGAAAAAGCATAAACTGAAACAAAGCCAAAATTATTTATGTTAAAAATGAAGCATTCTTTTTCCTAAAAGACAGTGGGCAAAATATTTTATGGTTTTACATGCAGTTGAGGTTGAGCTCTTTAGTCTAAACGTGTGGAGCTTCTTGTGTGTCTGTGGTCCGGTCACAATTCATGACAGTCTGTCCTGTGAAAAAATTATGATCAGTGACTTGAATAATGAAACAAACAGTGCCGGGTCACAATCCTGGGATGTTTTGAATCATTTGAGATGTATCAGAAGGGAAGTTTCCCAGATTGAGTTTAGAAACAAAGAATGCAGATGCAGGCACACATTGTTTTTTTTGTTTTAGTTCTCTTCAAGAATGTCTGTCAGACTCTTTTGGGTGTTATATGAATGTCGGGAGAGAATAAATCATTCAGTCTCCCGTGGTAAAGGAAAAAAGATATGCTTGTGCCACTGAGAGGGTCTCTCAGAGGACCCTCAGTCCAATGTACTGCATTTTATCTTGCTTTTGAAGTGAAGGAGATTCATGAAGAAACATAATGGCACTAAAACTATTGAAGCCACATAACTGTTTGCTTTGCAGTGCCATCAATCTGAGTTTTGTGAAAAGGAAATTTCAAGCTCTCTACCTAAATCTCTTATTTTCCATTATTTAATTTCCTTATTTTCTGATATGTAAATAAATTTGCACATTAATTTCTCCATTAATTTTTTTTTCTGTTTAATTCTTGATTTTACAGTATTCTGATTTGTCTGGTCTTTGTCATTATCGTTGTTTATTCAACATGGAACGAATAAGGAACTGGTGCCAGTACATAGTACAGAAGACCGTTTCATGCCAGACGCAAAATGGGACAGAGACTGTTGTGCAGCGGCTGTTTCAGAGTTGCCGATGGCCTGGACCATGTCCAAACCTCATCAGGTACAGAGAAAAGAAATGATCTCATGGTATACACTGGGTTATACTCTGCTATTCACTCTCACATTAACTTGGACGACAAGTAAAAGACTCTGTGCGTGCTTTGCCTCTCTGTATTTTCCCAGCTACAGAACTCTGGTGAGACCCGTGTACAGAGTGACCTACAGGAAAATCACTTCTCTGGAATGGCGATGCTGTCCAGGATTCCATAGAGAAGACTGCAGAGAAGGTGAGGGAGCTCATTTTTTGCTGATTTCAAGTTCACTGAAGCATTACTGAATCAATTGAATGGCTGTAAGACAAAGGAATTGTTATGTGTTGTGAGCCAATTACATAGACATTTATTAGTGGTGTTTGCTAAGACAAGCAAAACATTGCACAACTATAATAGAGATTTTATGGTTGGCCTCTTTTGACTTGTGACCCTAACAACAGCATAACAATGCCCTGGCAACCACGCTGAAAATCCAGGCATAGGGATATTGTGGTTGGCCTCTTTTGACTTGTGTAAGCCAGCAACCACATAAAAACCACTTAGAGCAAACACTTAGCAATGCCTTAGCAACCACCCGGAACACCCAAACATACGCGGCATCCAAAATCAAATACTTTCCTACTATATAGTATGTGAAAAACAGTACGCAAACAGAGTAGTATGTCTTAATTCATAGTATTCGAAAAACAGTACCCGGATGACCTACTACTTCCGGTGGGATTCTGAAGTGCGCATTCGATGGACGCTTAACTATCCCATGAGGCCACGGGAGAGGATTGATGAGTGTCAGTGAAGTGGCACAACTGATGCTGGTAGGTCACATGACAGTAGCAATATGGCGGATGCAGTACATCTGAGTTTCATTCATTCTACCCATTATAGAGCATACTTTTTTAACGGTCGCAAAGTAGGTTCTAATTCATATGTAGTACATACACAGACAGTACCCGATTTTGGAAAATTACCGATAGTGATTTTGTGGTTGGCCTCTATTGGCTTGTGTAAGCAAGCAATCACATAGAAAGCACTCAGGACACCCTAACAACTGCATAGCAATACCCTAATCTTATCTTGCCAGAGGGAGCGCCTCACGTGATCTCACGCAGCAGATCGTCATTGACATTTCAGCAATGTTTACATATGTTAGCTAGCATGCTAGCAACTTTCTACACTCTTTGTCCTTACGGTTGTGGTAAGTTTTTAACACATTATCCATTATCCATCTCCACTATCCAACAGACCTGTAAAGCAGCTTGTTTTGCGTATTGACTATTGTGAAAGTACTGATGTAATCAAAGCCGTCATCGTCCTGATTTAAAATCCTAAATATCAAACATGTTTGATATTAATGGGGGTGACCCCAATTTGTGTGCGAGCAGATTGGGAGGTGCAAGATTCGATCTGTAAATGCCTCACATTACCAGATAAACCGCGCCGAACATCAGAACTGATCGAGGTCCTCAAAAAGATTTTTTCTCCGATTCTCGGGAGGGGACAATCGGGGCTAAATCGGCCTAAAACTCCTGTTGTTTGTGCCTGGCTTAAGACGAGCAAAACATACCAAGATTATCATAGAGATTTCGTGGTTGGCCTCTTTTGATTTGTGTAAACAAGCAAACACACAGAAACCACCCAGGACACCCTAGCAAACACCTGGAACACCCTAACAACCACATAGCAACGTCCTGGGAACCACATAGAGCACCCAGGCATTGATATTTCATGGTTGGCCTCTTTTGATATGTGTAAGCCAGCAACCATATAAAAACCACCCAGAATACCCTAGTAACCACTCAGAACACCCTAGCAACCGCATAACAATGCCCTAGCAACCACCCAGAACACCCTAACAACTGCATAGCAATACTCTGGCAACCACCCAGAACATCCAGGCATAGGGATTTTGTGGTTGGCCTCCTTTGACTTGTGTAAGCCAGCAACCATATAAAAGCCACCCAGAATACCCTAGCAACGACTAAGAACACCTTAGCAACTGCATAGCAATGCCCTGGCAGCCCCCCAGAACACCCAGGCATAGATATTTCATGGTTGGCCTCTTTTGATTTGTGTAAGCAAGCAACTACATAGATACCACTCAGAACACTAGCAACCACCCTGAACACCCTAGCAACCACACAGCAATGCCCTGGCAACCACCCAGAACACCCACACATCTAGCAAGATATTTGCATGAGCAAACACCACACACTTTTGACTTGGCATGGTTTGGTGGGTGGTTCTTTTTTTAAATTTAAGTCTCTTAGCAACAACAAAAAAAGATCCCTTACATTCATTGTGTGGGTGAGAATGTGAGTGACAACAACTGATCTCACTGTGGAAATCAAGCATCTGGGTGAAATCCCAAAATGAATGAGTCATAACTATATGCCCGTCTGAATGTATTTCCTTTCTTACTATATGAACACCAAACACTTTAGTGCAAAACATCCATAAACATGTTTCTATATTAACCAGGAGAAAATGCATTATGACTATGTTACAAAACATGCTCAGATTTGCCATGACACAAAAATCTGCAATCGAAAGTCTTAGATCTGAATATGAATATTATCACGCCATGTCATATGAGCACAGTTACACTCCCTACTGACTCACTTTACTGTTATCCTAGAGAGATAATCATAATCAAAACCAGCACGGCTCTGGGTCTTTGCATATATTGGGTAAATACATTTTAATTGACACTGAAATAAATAGCTAGAAGAACATATTTGAGGGAATATTTGAGGAAATGAGTCAGTGCTTTTGATTCATTTTGATTAATTTGACATAGTACAGTTAGATGTGATAGAGGTCACAAGAGTTCAAATAATTTAGGGATAATTTATCTAGTGAAAGTGAAGTGACATGTGGCCAAGTATGGTGACCCATACTAGGAATTAGTGCTCTGCATTTAACCCATCCAGAGTGCACACACACAGCAGTGAACACACACACCGTGAACACACACCCGGAGCAGTGGGCAGCCATTTCTTTGCTGCGGCGCCCGTGGAGCAATTGGGGGTTCGGTGCCTTGCTCAAGGGCACCTCAGTCGTGGTATTGAAGGTGGAAGAGAACGCTGTGCATTCACTCCCCCCACCTACAATCCCTGCCGGTACGAGACTCGAACCCGCAACCTTTGGGTTACGAGTCCGATTCTCTAACCATTAGGCCACGACTTCCCATCTATGGCACACATTCTCATGTTCATTCTCATCTGGATGGGAATGGTTTAATGTCAAACAGCTCAAGTTAGGTCAAAGTCTGTGTGAGATCCCAGCATTTCTAGTTGGCATGTGTAATGAGGCCTAACAAAGAATGTTGTGTCTGATTTCACTCATTATGGACACTTTTTATAGTCCCGGGTTTGGAACATGGAAGTAAACATTAGCAGGGTAAACTTGTACTTGTACTTGGTAGATGGAAGATAACAGCAAATATTATTTTAGCATATCCAGTTTGCTCCAACAGCAGCTGTATTATTTTAATACAAGGGTAAAATAACACAAAGTGTTATAAAAACAAGAAAACACTACACGTCAACTACCAGTTAGTGTTAGTAGACTGTCTACTTAATATCTTCTAACACTTTATTTTGATAATAATAATCTGAATATAATAATCTGATTATAAGTAATTTTGCCCTCATTAAGTAATAAGTAAATTTAAACTCATTCTACTAACCCTAACCCTAATGTAACAGTCTACTATTACTCTAATGAGAGTTATTTGACATGTAGTTGCAAAACATTACTTATAGTTAGTAGAATGTCTAAAGTGTGCTATCGAAATAAAGTGTAACCAATATGACAAACTTTGAAGGTTTCAAAGGGTTGATTCGCATAGAATGCGTTTTTGTGTTTAACAATGCAAGATGCAGGGAAGGAATGCAATGGGAAATATGGAATGGGGAAAAAACGCAAAAGTTAAACTTTTTTTTTTTACTTGCTGCAAAAGATGTGAGACACAAGCACAATGGTCTTGCACGTTTACATAGAAAACAATACAAACGCAATGCAGTGGAACGCAACATGTTTTTGCGTTTAAAAATGCAAGACATAAGGCAGTGTAATAAGAAAAAACACAAGGTGTATACACGTTTTTTTAAGTTGAAGTTATTTTAATTGAGTGCCACATTTTTAGAACACCATATCATGCCTGAGATGCTGTATTGGTGAAACACATCCGTCTAGTACGTTTACATAGAAAACAATTGGAGGTGCAAGTAGAACACAACTGAAAAACAAGGAATGCATTGAATACTGTGAGAGACGCAAGCAGTAGAATGAAAAAGAACGGTCTCAAGACTCTTTTTTAAAACTTATTGTAACTTCAGCGGCACATTTTCTGAATGCTGTGCCATGCAAAAGGGTCAAGATGCGAGCACAATGGTCAAACACAACTGTGCATTTTTACGTAGAAAAACAATGGAAGTGCAGCGCAGTGGAATGCAACTACGCATTTTGTGTGAACGGTCCTACTAAATTCTGATTGGTCTTCACTGTCGTCCGTGGTAACGCTGTGTATCCAGCCGATCACCACAACTGTAACCAATGTCTCTCATTCCACAGCACAGACTTGTGCTTTCTCTGTTGTCTTCTGGCAGGATTCAAAGCCTGGTTGTAAGAACAATCCAACTATAAGAGTGAACAATCCAGCCATGTATGTAAACCGAAATGCAATAAGAAACTTTTAAACTGATTCATGCTCCCCTGGAGTTGTGGTTTGACTGTTTATTCAGCTCAGTTTGCCAGTTATTGAGAACTGTGTGACTAGTTGATGTCATGTTCAATCACTTTAGTGATGTTTTGTCCTTCAGGAATGTACAGTGTCATAAATTCATGTGCCTTGTATTAAGAGATACCAGTGTGATGAAGTTGTTTGTTCATTAATGCAGCCCAGACAAAGAAATCTTTTCCCATCCATCAGATTAGTCAGCAAAATGCTGGACGTTTTGTTGCTGTCCCTCCCTAAGTTAACTTTGTTTTGTTCGTTAATGCATTCCTCATATATTGAGGCCAGTTCCTCTCTTTAGCTTAATAAATTTCCATTTTAAAATGTCAAGAACTTGGATATTTCGATTAGTTGTGTCTGACTATGTGAAAAGGATAGCTTTATGTTTGACTAAGAAGGAGTAGACATCAAGGAATGCACTGGTGCAAAGCTGTTGAGATGTGGGAGGGTGGTTGCAGCTGGGATCAACAGCTGTAAGAGATCCTTTGTCCCATAACCA